AAAAACAGTAAAAGAGGAAGAGGGGGATGAGTATATGCGTCTTAAGGCAAAAAGGAGTGCATATAGTTCTGTAGTAAGGACACTAGATTCAGGAGGGAGGGTGTATTTGAAAGTGCAATTTGGGAATGTTACTGCGAATCCAGCTCCTGAGATGGATTTGGAACCGTCAGTGTAAACATGAATGCTGGAGGAATGGAATGGACAGACAATGGGAGAGGTCGGAGATGAGGGAAGGGGGAATGGGAGAGGAGGGTATCCATGCGTACAGGGAGAGGAGTTGGTAAACGTGGAGAAGAGGTAAAGGTATGAAGCAAGGATTGTGGAATAGTTAGTTTGGTAAGGGAAAATTGGTGAAATCGAGCATAGCATCGAAGAGAGAGAAGTGCTCGACGTCGAGAGAGGGACGGCATGCCAGATTCAGTATATAGGCTCTCAACTGGAGAGGAGCGGAAGGCGCATAGTGCTAAGCGGAGACCGCTGTGGTGAATTGTATCAAGGTGAGCAAGAAGAGAGGTTGAGGCAGAGGAGTAAATATGGCATCCATAATCTAGAGTGGAGAGAATCAAGGTAACATGAAGATGGAGGAGTTTTGCGATCTGAGCCCCAGGAGATATGTGAAAGAGTTTGTAAGATTCGTCGGCGTTGAGCTTTTTCTTTGATGTACAAGATATGGTCTCGCCAGGACAATTTGGATTCAAATATAACGCCTAGGATTTTGCCAGAAGAACGGTATTGGAGTGGAGCGTTATATAAGAAGAGTGGGGGTTTGGGGACCGTACGTGAGCGAGAGAAAAGGATGGGGAAAGATTTAGAGGTAGAGAAGCGAAAGCCATGGTTGGTGGTCCAAGAAGTTACTGATGTTATTGCAGACTGAAGGAATTGACAGAGATCTGGTATGGATGTGCCAGATGCATAGATGGTTAAAGTCATCAACATATAGTGATGCTCGGGCTCCTGGTGGTAGGACTGAGACTATGTCATTTACAGCAAGAAGGAATAAAGTGGTACTAAGCATATTTCCTTGTGGGACGCCTTCGAATTGAGGAAAAGATGATGACGTGGAAGAGGCAATCTTGACCTGGAAAGTACGTTTAGAAAGGAAGGATTTAATGAAAACGGCCATGTTTCCACATAAACCAAGGGAGGACAATTGTTGGAGGATATGGTATCGCCATGTGGTGTCATATGTTTTTTTCTAGATCAAAGAATATGGCTAATACATATTCATGGCGTGCAAATGCCGATGTAATGTATGTCTCAAAATGGGCAAGTGGGTCTGCTGTACTTCGGGCACGTCGGAAACCAAACTGGGAAGGGGAAAGGAGATTATGAGATTCAAGGTACCACATTAAACGGAAGTTAACCATTCGTTCTAGTAGTTTGCACAAGCAGCTAGTTAGAGGGAGAAGGGAGGTGTCGGAGCATACGATAGTGAATACCATCAGGGCCTTCATGAGTGTTGCGGCACAACTGTAATGCAGCGTTGAGTTCAGAAGAAGAAAAAGGAGCATTATAGGACTCATCAGAGGATAGGGTGAAGGTAATAGGGGTGTGTTCCTTGATGGCTTTAATGGAAGAAAAGTGTGGGGAAAGGTGAGAGCCACTACTGACCTGGCTGAAATGGTTGCCCAGTTCATTAGCTACTTCGACAGGCTCAGAGATGAGAATATCTCGAATATGGAGGACGGGTGCAGGATGGGGGGATGTTTGCCTGAAAATTTATGGATCCGTCGCCAAACAGCTGAAATAGATGTAGAAGATGTAATTGAGGAGACATAATTTTGCCAGCTATTTGTTTTGCTGTTTTTAATTGTACGGTGAAGATGGGCAGATGCTCTTTTAAAGGAAATAAGGGCTGATAGCTGGTGAGGGGTGCCTCGTTTGTAGCGATAGCTGTTCCAGGCTGCTTGTTTTAAGCGAAGCAGTTTGGTGCAATCAGAATTCCACCATGGAACACATTTAGAGGTATAAGGTCTTGAAGTTCGAGGAATGGCTGTATAGGCAGCTCTTAGGATCGTGGTTGTAAAACAATGTAGCATATCTGAAATGGACGGTAAGGGGGATGGAGGGATAGGTATAGTAAAGAGTAAAGTGAAAGTATGCCAGTCAGCTCTATCAAAGCACCAGCGTGGAGGATTAGGAAGTGGTACATATGAAGTAGGAGAAAGGAGTATTGGGAAGTGGTCTAGAACTGACCAATGGAAATCTAGATGTAAAGTAGGAGAGCATAGAGAGAGGTCAAGGCATGAAAAGGATTGTGTGCGCATGTCAAAGTGCGATCTGAATTAAGAATAATTAGGTTATTTGTGAAGAGGAAGCGTTGTAAAGATCGGCCTCGGGAGTTGGTGGTAGAGTCACCCCACAGAGTGTGGCGGCAGTTGAAATCACCAACTACGAGGAAAGGTGGTTGGAGTTGGGAAATTAGTCTCAAAGGCAGTAGAGTCAATGGGATGGGATGTGGAGAAGTAGACTGAAATCACTGTGATCCAGCGGCGAAGAAAGCTGCGAATAGCTGTGCACGAGACAGAAGTTTGTATGGGAGGTATGACATAAGGTGTTTTGTGATGGATAAGTATAGACGAGGCATAAAGGGAGTCTGGGGAAAAGATAAAATGGTAATTGGGAATTGGAATAGGAGCGTGTGTGAGGAAAGTCTCTTGGAGGCAGATAATAGATGGATTATAAGAAGCAAGGATATGACGTAAGTCTGATCTATGAGAGCGGAAACTGTGAATATTCCAATGTAGGAGAGCTATATCCTAGTTGATTTATGAATGATAACACAAGTACGTGTTGGGGAATTTGAAGGGGAAGGAGCTAGGGGGTGTAAAGGAGGGATATTAGGAGGTAGGGAATCTGGAGAAGGGCATTGTTGTGCCATGAGTGATTCTCGTGTGTATCCGGGAGGGAGTGCAAAGGATAGAGGGGATGGAGGAAGGGAGAATGTGCCTATAGTTGGGGTTGAAGGGGTTGGGTTGTATTGGGAGGGAGTAGATGTGGGGGGAGTATTAGTGTTAGGAGGATGAATATCGGAAGGATGGATAGTTGGAGTTGAAGGGGATGTGTTGTCTTGGGAGGGATTAGGAGGAAGGGGTGTAGGGGTGCTGTGAGTAAGAGGGGGATCCATATCAGGAGGATGGCTATCGGAGGTGGACGGAATTGAGGGGGTTAAGTTGTGTTGAGAGGGAGTAGGAGGAAGGGGTGTAGGGGGAATATTAGTAGGAGGGGTATGAATATCGACAACCACTTCAAGTGTGGAAGGAGCATGAGTTATGTCTCAAACATATAGCTTTGAATGTCATCCATTGTTTCTGCAGTGGAGTTTGTTGGAGAGTTTTTTGAGAAGGTAATTGTTTCTGCACTGGAATTGGTTGGAGAGTTTTCTGGGATAAAGGTTTTCTTATGAGGGGGGGAAGAGGAGACTGGTGTCTCAGGAACAAAGGTATAGGTAGGTGGAGGTGATTGTGCTGTAGGGGAAGAAGGGTTAGAACGTTTAGTCTGTCTACTGCGGGTAGTGCGGGGAGGGAGAGGGGTTGGTGTTGGGGCTGTAGTTGAGATAGGAGCTGTGGTTGATATTGGGGTGTCTGGGTTTAGAGTGGCAAAGGAATTGGTCTGAGGGATGTAGAATGTAGAAGTGGAAATGGGGACATTTTGGGGTGGAGGGGGAGGGGCTGAGCGAACGATGTTACTAGAATATAGAGTATGAGAGAAACCTTGTCGACGTGCTTCCTGTCTGGCTTCACTTAAAGTGAGACCGTTTTTATATCTGAGAGTTGCTACCTCAGATTCAAACTTGTAAGTGGGACAGCCTCTATAAAATACATTATGGGGGCCGCCGCAGTTAGCACATGTTCGTGTTTGTGCTGAGCAGTTTGATCGATTATGACCAGGTTGGGCACATATGGGGCATCGGTCTGTGGAACGGCAATGTTTGGCAGGATGTCCAAAGCGCCAACAGTTTTGACATTGACGGGGAGGGGGTTGGTATGGTCGAACAGGGAGGGATTGTCCACCAATGTAGATATGCAAGGGAAGGTCATGTGTACGGAAGGTAATTTTGGCAATATTGGTCGGATTCTTTCGTTGACCTTTAGGAGGAATGGTGTAGCAATGTACTGATTTCACATCTTGGTCTTTGAGGCATCCTAATAAGTCTTCTCCACAGTCTGACCAATCTTTGGTATCGACTGGGCAGTTTGCTGGGGAGAGAGAGACAGTTCCGGTACAGGTATTAAGGGTTGGATGAGATTCTGCAGGAATGGGGTTGCCAGAATGATCAGTTAAATTTGATAGTGCTATAGATTCAGTTTCTGATCTGACTGTTACCAGACGGGAGCGATCGCGTCTGGTATAGAAAGGGACTCTGCCTACTTGTTTTTGGAGGCATTGTTGAAAGAGAAGAGTGTTGCCTGAGTAAGGAGCTGTAGGGGGGATCACGAAAAATCGGTCCCATTTAGCTGGGCTAAACAGAGTATTTAAGATATCTGTAGGGTTGTTGGTGGTGGATGGTCGGGGACGTGTGGAAGAGGGAGTATTACGGAATGATGGAGAATAAGGTTGCAAGGTATTAATAAGGGAGGATTGGTTGTTTGATGAAGGTTGCAGGGGTAGAGTTGAATTTGAGGAAGTTGGGTGGGTAGGAATGTCTTCTGGAGATTGATTCTCTGCTTGGGTGGGTAATGCTCTAGCAGGCATTGAGGAGTGGGTAGTAGTTTCAGTGTTCGGAGCCGTGGTCAAAGGAGAGCCTGGGTTGGGGCTATTTGATAAAGGGGCTAGCCTCATAGCCTCTAATATAGGGGTTACATTTTCATTACTGGTCATGGGGAACCTGGATTATATAAAAAAGCCTAAACGGTCCACCTCTTTTCGCTACTGAAGGTAAGGGCTAGATTAGTCGGGAGTACCGTGCCCATAGTTCCCGCAGGCCGTTCAGGACTGGCACTAGGTCAGCCTTTCATCCTCTCAGCACGGCTGTCACACCTTAGGAAGTAGATAGTAGAAGGGGATGGAGAAGAGATGGAAACAAAAGCTGGAGAGGGAAAAGACCATGCAAAATTAGTTGAGTCGAGGGCTGAGGCCCTAGGCAGGGGAGATCCCTGTATTGGGTCTCAGTCTTCGTCTCCTAAGCCCCCCCACGACAACGGGCAAGGGATTGGGGGGGATATTTCCCCAATAAAACCTTTTTATCCGCTATAAAAATCACACGTGACCCCATTACCCTAACGTTTATGACATATTTTGCCCTTCAGATTCTGTTGAATAACAATAATAATGGGTAAATAAATGAATAAAAAATAATACTCCTAATGCCATCCCATCGCCCCCTTTTGCCTCACCTGGGGGAGGGGGGCGAAACCGTCTACTTTGAGAACCAATGCATTTCATTATTACTAGTGTTATCCAGAAAGACCGAAATATTGACCGAACTATGCACAGGCTACAGATAAATGAGTCGTCTATTGAGTAGGATCAGGATAAACAAGATGCATATTTTTTTACATTCTTTTTATTAAGGTTCCCTCTTTACTCTTGCTTAATCTTTTAGTCATCAAAATATAATATATATATATATATATATATATATATATATATATATATAATATATATATATATATTTCGGTACTGACACATGATGTTTGCACTAGATATATATTTGCATATATGCTAACTTGTGTAATCTATTTTAAGATTTTTAAGTTCTTGGTTGAAATAGTCTACATTTTACAGTGATAACAATTTTATTATCATATTAATCTGTTTTATGTATTTCCTTCATAGCAAACACCAGGCTGCGAAAATGCAAAGAATAAGAACAAGAATAAGAAGAACAAGAACAAGAAAAAGAAAAAGGAAGAGAGAAAAAAGAGGAGAAAATTGAAGAACGATGGTACAGAACAGACACTACGAAATGATAATAGAAAACGACAAGGCAGAAAGAATGCGAAAGAAATGAAGGAAAGTGAAGGTAATGGAAATGGTAAAGGAAATCGTAATGGAAAACGACAAGACAGAGAGAATGCGAAAAAAATTAAGGAAAGTGGAGGTAATAGAAATGATAATGGAAATCGTAATGGAAAACAACAACAAGACAGAGAGAATGCGAAAGAAATTAAGGAAAGAGGACGAAATGGAAGAAGAGGACAGCAAGAGGAAAAGAGTGTGAACGGAAGGAAGGAAGATGAAGGAAGACCGAAGCCACAAGGTTATAATGGCGGGAATGGGAAGAGAACACAGCCGAAAGATCGAAAGGAGGGAACAAGAATGTCAAAAGGGAGGACCAAAAGACAAGCTAAGAGGATAGAACGGAGAAAGAAGGCAGATGCGCAGAAAACGAACAAGAAACAAAAGAAGCAGAACGAAGACGAGAAGGAGGACAAGAAGAAGAAAAAGAAAAAGAAGAAGAAGAAGAAGAAGAAGAACACCGTCACCAAGATCAGTAAGAAACAACCAACCGTGTACACCCGTAACCAACGCAATGGTAATCGCGTCGATGTTTGGATCAAGGTTACGTCCTTCCTCACTTGGATGGTAACGGTCGTAACGGCGAACAGTCCCAGCCCTATGTGTTACCGCGCCCCGCAATTCAAGTCAGCCCCGAACATAACGCAAGTTCTCCCCGCGTGCGGTTAGTCGGGAATCTGGGAATCTTAGGACTAGGAATCACTGAAACCAGGCATCCATTCTTCTGTGGATTACATTGGAACCGCCCAGCAGAATTCCTCACCAGTGCTCCCACGATTATCGTAAATGTGTTTTGCTGCTAAGATGAAATTATGAGGTTAGAGACAGGCTTCATGTTGAGTTACGCTATCATCTGAACAGAAATACAATGAAAATAAGATTATTCTTCACCCTTGTAACAGATTTTCCTCCAGCACTGTACTTTCCCAAAATTAAAGTATTTCTGATATTTGATTTGCAAAAGGATCAGAGAGAATCACACTTATATACTGCATGATGTACCTGAAGAAAACCTCAGTGATCACTGATTTTATGTAGTTTATTTTTAAATTCCAAGGTGATTAATAGCGCATTTGGTGATTGTGTATTCAAAGGCTAATGGTTGGTGTCTTAAGTTATTGGCCATATTCAAAGGTATGAAGGGGATATATATATACATATGCATGATACTGCAATGTTTGGCTACGGTTAATCATTGCTGATATAATCTGGTAAATCATAATAAAGTATTGATGAGAAATTTTTTTGTTATTCTACCAATCTAAACATTACATCAAATTACCATTAAATCTCAGTCTGAACCTAATCAAATACACACCTTTCTCTCTCTCTTACTTTCTCTGCCTCAGTCTCTCTCCTATTCATTCATCTTTCTTACTTTCTCTGTGCCCCCCCCCCCCCATCTCTTCCTCCCCCTTCAGTCATTCCGACTACCCACGTGCCCCCCCATCCTCCCTTCACATAATGAAGGCTTCTCATGGCCAGTAATGAAGATGTAATACCCTTATTAGAGGCAATGAGGCTTGCCCCTTCATCAAATAGCCCCACCAGCTCCCTGACCCCAGGTTCTCCTTTGACCACGACTCCGAACACTGAAACCACTACCCACTCCTCAATGCCTACTGGTGCATTACCCACCCAAGCAGAGACTCCTACTCCAGAAGACATTTCTACCCTTCCAACTTCCTAAAATTCATCAACTCTACCCGTACAACCTTCATCAAACACCCCAACCTCCCTTATTACTACCTTACAGCCTTATTCTCCATCTCTGTAATACTACCCCCCTCAACAACACTCCTGCTTCCACACGCCCCCGTCCTTCTACCACCACCAACCCTACAAGTATTTGAACTACTCTATTTAGCTCAGCTAAATGGGACCGATTTTTCGTGATCCCCCCTACAGCTCCTTACTCAGGCAACACCTCTTTCAACAATGTCTCCAAAAAACATGTAGGCAAAGTCCCTTTCCGTACCCGACGCGATCGCTCCCGTCTCGTAACAGTCAGATCTGAAGCTAAAGCTATAGCATTATCAAAACTAACTGATCTCTCTGGCAACCCCATCCCTGCAGAACCTTATCCAACTCTTAATACTTGTACCGGAACTGTCTCCATCTCCTCAGCAAACTGCCCAGTCGATCCCAAAGATTGGTCAGATTGTGGAGGACTTGCTCGGCTGCCTCAAAGCCAGGACGATATCAGTACATTGCTATTCCATTCCTCCAAGACGTCATCGAAAGAAACCCACCAACATTGCCAAAATTACTTTCAGTACACATGACCTTCCCGTTCGTATCTACATTGGTGGACAATTCCTCCCTCTTCAACCATACCAACCTCCTCCCCGTCAGTGTCAAAATTGTTGGCGATTTGGACATGCTGCCAAACACTGCCGCTCCACAGACCGATGCCCCCTCTGTGCCCAACCCGGTCATAACAGATCAAACTGCCTTGCACAGACACGCACATGTGCTAACTGCGGCGGCCCCCATAATGTATTTTATAGTGGCTGTCCCACTTACAAGTTTGAATCTGAGGTAACAGCTCTCAGATACAAAAATGGTCTCACTCTACGTGAAGCCAGACCGGAAACACGCCGACAAGGTTTCTCTTATACTCCCTACTCCAGTAATGTCTCTTGCTCTGCCCCTCCCCCTCCACCTCAAGATGTTCCTACACCCTCCCTTATACCTACTTACTTTCCTACTTCCACCACTTCCACTTCTACATTCAACCTCCCCCAGTCAAATCATTTTGCCATTCTAAATCCAGACACCCCAATCTCAACTACAGCCCCAACACCATCTCCTCTCCCTCTCCGCACTACCTGCAGTAGACAGACTAAACGTTCCACCCCTTCTTCTCCTACCGCACTTACCTCCACCTACCTTTACCTTTACTCCTCAGGCACCAGTCTCCTCTTCCCTCCCTCATATGAAAACTTTTGTCCCACAAAACTCTCCAACCAACTCAACTGCAGAAACTATGGAAGACATTCAAACCTATATGCTTCAGACACAAAATTCCATAACCCATGCTCCCTCCACACTTGAAGTGATTGCCGATATCCATACCCCTCCTACTCGTATTCACCCAACACCCCTTCCTCCTACTCCCTCTCAACACAAACCTACCCCCCCCCCCAATTCCGTCCACCATCGATATACATCCTCCTGAAATCCACCCCCCTCTTACTCATAGCACCCCTACACCCCTTCCTCCTAATCCCTCCCAAGACAACACATCCCCTTCAACTCCAACTATCCATCCTTCCGATATCCATCCTCCTACCACTAATATTCCCCCCACACTACTTCCTCCTACTCTGTCCCAACACAACCCACCCCCTTCAACTCCAACTATACGCACATTCTCCCTCCCTCCCGGATACACACGGGAATCACTCATGTCACAACACCCCCTAGACCCCCCCCCCAGATTCCCCAACACGTACCGGCGCTTTCACCTATAAAATAACAAAGATATAGCTCTCCTACATTGGAATATTCGCAGTTTCCGTTCTCACAGACCAGACCTACGTCATATCCTTGCTTCTTATAACAACCTGTTCTCCTTCCTCAGACATAAATATCCTTCACTTGATCTAATTCCCTTACCTAAACCACCATAACCCTTTCCCTCATCAACCCCCTTACCCTTCTCCAACTTTCCAACATTACTCTAGATAGTTGATGCATAGCAACTATCACCTGACATCACCCTTTACTATACCTTCCTATAGTGCTATATGACCGTAGATGTCTAGCACATTTATTTCGCTTTTAACCATTAACCATTAACTTACTGTTTGTAAGTGACAGCGTGATAAAGAGGGTAGGGGAGAGAGACAGAGAAAGGGATTGAGAGGGTGTAGGATGCAATACATGCAATCTCACAGACCACGTGCATTCATATCTACTGGTCCGCATGGTCGCCACGTGGAGCGTGCCCACGCTGGTACCCCACGCTCGCTGCCTGCCCTCGCTTAACCCAGAAGCCACACCGCCAGCCAAGGGGTATATAAGGTCATCCAAGCTGACCCTCAAGGGCTTACCTGGATCTTGAGGTCCAAGGTTTTTCGTGTTTGTCATCGTGGATGATTTAAAGAGATTTGACACCCCCACGACGAACAAGACGATTGGCTCTTGGTGTAACTGCTTTGGGTGCAGTTACGCAATACCTGCTTTGGGCTAGTGCCTTTAATTACAGCCTTGATGTGCGAGTAATTAAAAGCACGACGCACAGTGGCAGCTGACAGTTTCGCAGCGAAGTGTTCGGCCGAACACATAAGGGCTCACGCCCGTTCGGGAGGGTTCCGACCCCGACCGGCCTTCCCATATAGAGACTGTTGGCTACCCTGTGTGCTTCACCGTTTTTTTATACCATTTCCGACCTTTCATCGTCCAGTTGAATTAGCTCTGCTAGCCTCCCCTCTACCCATCATCCATCACCCTCGCTATGGCGTAACCCTATGGGTCACGTTATCAAATTAGCGTATTCTGGGGAGCCTATCTCTTGTGAGGAGGCTCTCCAGAATATCTTCATTATCACTGAGGTGGCAGTCACACACCTCTTTAAGGTCCATAATGGCTTCAACAGTTGCCAAACCTGAACACCTGACCCATTTCTTTCGGCCGACGGCCAAAGAAAGTTAAAAGACCACGGCTTCTCACCTGTTCCCTCCCCCGAGATGAAGGCTAAATGTACGATCGTGGCCAAAAAGATCGACAAGACGATCCCCCCACGATCGTGCGAGTCCATCTGCCAGGAGGTTTCCGTCAAGAACGGTGTCACTGTTCTCGACGTCTATAAGCCACCCGAGTCGCGAATCGTCAAGATTCGCGTCTCATCCCCCGAGGAAGCCCAGAAACTTCTCTCTCGGGGACTCATGATGTTTAATACATCGGTCCCCACCTACAACCTGGAACCCGAATGCTTTATTCACATCGACCAATGCCTAAACTGCTACCGCTTCCACCACAAAAACACCCAGTGCACACACCCCCAGAGATGCTCTCGGTGCGCCGGCGACGGTCATTTCTTCGCCAGGTGCACTGAAAGCATCAAATGCTGCAACTGCGAGGGATCGCATGTCGCAGTTAGTGGATCCTGCCCTAAACGGAAGGAAATACTCAAGGCAAAACGAGCTGAGCTCCGCCAAGACACAAACACTGTACCTTCCTACGCAACAACAGCTGCCATACGACCTGCTCAGACCAGTACACCCAGACGACCCACGACTTCCCCTCGGACAATTCTGCCCACACAACCCCCAACAAGCACTCTCACACCGAACACAAACCCAAAACTCCAAGCCATCTTACACGTAAGTCTCATTGCTGCCAAGTACAACGCAAAAAGATTCGCAAACATTGTCCCTATCATGCTACAGAGAAACGGCTTCCCCAGCATTATTGTCCCTGAGGAAATCTTTGAAGACGAAAACCTTTACATCCCTGAGTACACCACAACAAACACAGAAACCACAGGAAATGAGGTGACAGACACTCACCCAGAGCCTCATTCTTCCTCACAACATCGACACCTCGTTTTGCAACCTCAGCCACAACGAAGACAAAAAGAAACTGCACAAGCACGCCAAACTACAAATACCACTGATCACAAACGCAAACAAACCACACCACCATCCATGCACACAAAAAAGACAAGAAGGATCCTCCTGCCCCTGAAGCTCGTCGTCGTAGATTGGATGACACCATTCTCGACGACGACAGTAGCGACTCCGACATCGATGTCGAGAGCGTTCTCGAGGCCGGGCTTGGGCTCTCGGCTGGAGCCATGCTCCCTGCCAGGGGACCCCTGGGACAGCGCGGAAGCATCGGGAATTGGTCCGCCGATTCCCAGGACTTCCGCGTCGGTTCACAGGACTCCCTGCCTGGCCTCGAGGAGCCGTCGATCGCGCATCGATCGCGGAGCCGCTACAGGGCTCAGGTAACACCACGCAAGGTACACCCAGGTAGAATGGGTGTACCTTGAGTGGCTAACTGACGACCGACCGAGCCGACGCGAGTTCTTCCACCCCGGTGGAGGACCCCGTGTTGGCTAGGTCGATCTAGACGCGCAATCCCACGCACGAGCTGCATCTAAACAAAACAAAAACTCTCTCCTTCACACACAAACATTTTACTCTCACCAACAACAAACACAACTCCAGCTTGTTCTGATGGAATAAAGCACTCAGACGGTTCCCTGTAGTGGGTCGTGACCGATCTATT